TTACCTTTGCTGACTTAAAGTATAGATCTGGTATATATAGTATTGTTGGTGAAGCCATAGCTGATATGTCTTATTCCTCTTTGTGATAGACCACTTTTGTCCATAAATTACTGAAAACACATCAGTGAGCCACACTGTTGGACTGGGTGACATGTTCCTTCATTACCATGAAAATACACACTAGTTTATTTTGAGTCAATCCAACGTCCTGCTGCTTTAAAGAGGTGGTATTATGCTTTTTGGCTTTTTCCCTCTTCTTTATTGAGTTATATACCTTTTTTGTGCATGTAATAGGTTTGCAAAGTGAAAAAGCCCAAAGTCCAGCCCATAGGGAGTTCCCATCTCCCACAGAAAACACTGCTCTGAACTGCTTGAAAACAGCTCTTGTAGTCCAGCTGCTTCCCTTTCATCCCTGTGACATCACAGGAAAAAGTAGTTACAGGGATCAAAAACAGATTTCTACATACATGTTGGACTGATTAAGGCATCTCATCAGCCAAAAATATTGTGGTTGGGGCCAAAGTCTTGTCACTAAACTTGAATTGTGTTTATGCATGTTTAATATAAAATGTTTTCTTCTCCCCAGACATCCAATCCAGTAAGCACAAAGACCGGAGGAAAGGCTCTCTGGACGTACGATCCACAACGTCTCGGGGGAGCGATGGTGAGAGTGAAGGGAGATGGATGATGGAAACTCTGGGCGTTTCTTATCAGATTATGAAACCTTCCCAGTTGTCTGTTTGCTGCAAGTGTTGATTGGACAAACACACTCATTGGAAGGTGGTTGGAAAACAGGAGCTTAATTTGTTGTTGAATTGTAATAACGGGATGTCTTTTTTTTTTTTTCTGTCAGGGAGCTCACAACGAAGGCACTCCTCAATGGCCCGAATCCACTCCATGACTATAGAAGCTCCCATCACGAAGGTGGGTTCATCTCCCTCCCCACCATCCTTCCCAACATCCATCATATGATTAGCACTTTGCACTGATGTTTTGTATCTCATGACTGAACTCCTTGATTTATGAAACTGCCACAACCGCCATGAGCACTTCTTGTACAGCTACTTGTACTGAGGCTAGAGGCCACACATACCATGTCAAGGGGAGATAGGCTGATAAAATGCCACATTTCATGCACAAGACAGGAAAGGATATTGGACCAGAATGACCTGCTGTTTCAGTGGTTTATATAGTCTGCAGCCTGGATAGTCAGAAAGAGAGAAAGTCCCCAGGGATGGGTCATATGACACACTGCAGTTCCACTGCTGTATCATTTGACTGTGTAGTCAGTCCCTGTAGGCATCATCCTCTCTAGAATAAAGCGCTGATAGAACTGCTGGTACTGTGTGTGTATGTGAGTGAGCGAGAACTTGTGCTCTTGCAAATGTTTGCTGACCTCGCCATAGGTGTCCATTGTTAGAACCTGCACAACCTCCAAGTTCATATTCTGGAGAAAAGAAAATCACTCTGTATGTTTTCCAAGCATTATACTACTGGGCTTGTCCAATCTTGTTTTTAGAACTTTAGAAAAAATGGTTTAAAATAAAATGTTAATTTTAGAGACCATCTTACATGCTTTTAAATCATGCCTAGATCATTGCAACCAGTACTTTATTTTAACGGAATTGATATTTTGAGATATTGTGAGAATAGAGAGTTCTGAACAAGGAGATCAATACCACTTTATAGCAGCCGGTTAGCTTAGCTTAGCACAAAGACTGGAAACCGGTACCTAGTTGCAAATGGTAAAATGGCTGACCTCCGCAAGAACACCTTCACAGTTGACAGAAAAGTATGTGACCTCAGCAGTGAAAGTTGGTGTTCCTCTGAGCGTTTTTACATGAATATCTGCAAAGCGCATGTGTGTAGTCTAGTTGTGGCATAAAAGGCGAGAAGGCGGCCGCCTTCCTGTACAAAAACAGAACTTTATAACTTTCGTCACTGATTTTTGGCAAAAAATACTCAAATTATATGGAGAATGTATTTTTTGGTTTTCCCTTTGATGTTCTCTGTCTGCTCTGCCTCAACTCTCAGTGATTTGCAGTTTCCTGATGGACAGGAATATGGCATATTTGCTGAAACTGATCCTTATATTAGTACATGAGACAGATAATCTGTGAAAAAAATCAGGTTCCTCTTACTGCTCCTCTTGCCATTTGCAAGAATCCACCGCTCCCTGAAGAAAATAACCAATCAGAACTAGCAGTCTCCAACGCACATACTCTCAGTCAAGCTCAATATCTTTTGCTTGGCTTCAGAAGTCTGCAAACACAATAACTGAGAAACAACCAGAAGTCATGAAAGAACTGCCCATCCTTCTTTTGCCAAAAACACCTCACATCTCCTCCGAAAAAGTCGTAGCAAATATTCAAAGAAATCAACTACAAATTTGAAGTTTAAACAACTATATTCCTGCATAAAAAACTCCTAAAACAGCAGTATTATGACTTACAGTTGTGGGTCTCCTCCGCCATTGCCACTTTTTGGTGTGAAATGCATTCTGGGATACATGGCTATCCAAAGTCCACACAAGTCACCACCTGATGCATGCATGGTAAAACGGGTGGAGCGAGAACACTTTTGGGTATTTGACTGTACTTGGCTAGATGCGGACTTTTGCATTGGAACAGTACTTGGGCTGCAACTGATGACGTTTCGCAAGTCCACAACAACACAAGTACAGACAAGAACGCAGATTGAGAAACAGCTCAACACTCCCGCGGTGCTCTGAGCTCCCCGTCTGGGCAGAGTCAGCCTGGAACTCTGTAAATCACCACTAGTTGAGGCAGAGCAGCTGGAGGACATCAGAGGGAAAACCAACAAATATATTTTCTCCAAAAATGACTCTAAGAAGACCAGCACTTACAAAACTCACTAACTTGTACATCTTTATATTTATTTATTTATTTGTTTAATCTGTTCTTAAACAAAAGTATGAAAACTACAATTTGTGGTTTAACATGGGGTTATGTGACACGGACTGCTTCTTGGCTGGGAGCAGTAACTTTGGAGTCTCTGGTGGCAACCTCAGAGTGTCATCACAAATTCATCCAAAAAATCTAACTGATTAATTTTAGGGTGCTTCATGCCATGGGCCTTGTTATATTTGTGACATTTTAGTCCCTTGTAAAACTACAGGGGAAAGATATTTTCATTCAGAGCCCAGAGGCTGAACAAAGTTGGACTGAATCCATATCTATTTGAAACACACTTTTATTAGACAGCTTTTCCTGAATTTACTTGAATTGTGTTTATTTTATGTTATGTGATCTGATACTGCTTTGGCTATTCTATTCTGGTCCAGTAAATGTCTTTTTATTATAAACTATATGTTTTCAGTTTGCTTTTATTATTGTTGGTTTTTGTCCTTCAGGTAATCAACATCATCAATGCAGCGCAGGAAAGTAGTCCAATGCCCGTGGCAGAAGCCTTGGATCGGGTACTGGAGATCCTGAGGACCACTGAGCTCTACTCCCCACAGTTGGGAACCAAGGATGAAGATCCCCATACGAATGACCTCGTGGGTGGGCTGATGACGGTAAGCAGCAGGTCATTTGTGGTGGGTCCTCCAGCTTCCTTCTGCTATGAATGAATCGACTCCCATATGATAACACACGTCAGAGCGTTTGCAGAATTCCACAATGATAATATGTCTACATAAATGTCCATCAACTATTAATGCTCATGATAATGTGTTAAATGAAAGAAACATAGATTCAGGAGTGTGTGTTAGTGTGCGTTTGCGTGTGCGTGTGCGTGTGTGTGTGTGTGTGTTTGGACTTTTGTTTTTGTGAGGATTTCTGTTCATATTCGTGGAGGGAGGGAGAGACGGAGAGAGACATTAACAGACAGTAATGGTGAAGTACAGAAGTAGAAAGAGTGCCAAGTTGGCAGTCTTGGCAACAACCCCAGAGGAAGTGTTAGATTGTCCTTTGTGCTCCTGTAGGCTAGAGAGGAAAGCCCACCCCACCCTTCATTCCCCCATCCCCCCCCCGCACAGACTCTGCACACAGTCACACTCACATGAACCTCTTCCTCTTGACTCCACAGGCCTGGAAACATCCTGTTCTTTGGATCAGATGAATAAGCATGGCTTTACTTATACATGTACACTCTGGACACACAGAGGCAGAGAACTGTTACACATAGTCCTTCCACAGAAGACTTGTTCTGCATAAGTGATAAAGGCTGACGAAACCAGAAAACCATGAGGTTGAGGTTTAGATGAATATTTGTGTAAGATCATAATTGTTCTGAGGTGTCTGGTGGCATATTTATTTTCTCGGCTTTGCATTTCTGGTTTATTGTGGTGAGGTGTTCTTAAACTGAACTCCGAATAGCCTGTGAACATTAAGAGAAGCGCTGTCATCTTTCTGGGGAGAAAGTCTTAAAATAACCAGTGTGTACAGAGGCAGCGCCACCATGAGACAATGCTCAGGTCAAAGATGAGCCAGTCTCCTCTTCCTTTTTCAATTGTGAAGTAAACATTTCATCCTGCAACACACACCCATGTACTCATTAACGCCCAAAATATATAGGTCTTGCTCCAGAATGACTGGGTGAAATAGGCCTAGCTGACAAGTGGCAAAATGTTCTTTGAGGGAAGAAGAGAACTTCATGTTATGTTCTTTTCTTTTGACATTTTAGTGACATAGAATGGCCTGAGGACATAGTTTTATATGACATAATATATTTCAGTATGAATTATTTCATCGTAGTTTCTTATCATAGTTATTCTTTGAGAGACATTTATTTAACAATATTTAAACTATTTCTTCATTTGATGAACTGTAATGGATGCAAATGTGTCGTAATTGTTATTGCTAACATAAAACAAGATAAGACAAAGAGTCTACAGTCACACTAGTTGTGCTTCTAGCTAAATGCTACTATCAACATGCTAACATGCTGAGGTTTATCAGTTATATAGTTTATCATGTTCACCATCTTAGTAGCATGTTAGCATGCTAGTGTGTGCTTATCAGCACTTAACACAAAGTACAGTGGAGGCTGATGGGGAATGTCATTAGTAGAGCCCAACCAATATGGAATTTTTAAGTCTGATACCGATTTCAATATTTGAGATTTTTAAAATCCGATAGCCGGCATATCGGCCGATATTATTATTTTTTTTCCCCCCTTATTTTAGGAAATGCATGATATAAACAAAGATTATCCCTAAAATTTTGTTATGTTGACACCATACCAAGATACTATGACATAATGCAATATAAAAATAAACTCTTTTATTGTTATAAATAGTACTTTGAACAAAAGGACAAGGACAACAAAATATAGTAAGGTTTTGATTAAAAAAATAAATAAATAAATTTTAAAAATTTAAAAATATCTGGTTTGTTATAAATTATACTACTACTAATGAAAATTAAAGTAAATAGTGCATTGTGGGGGCCAGCAAAACAGAAACTATAAAAAATATAAATATAATAAAATATAAAAAAACATCTATATGTAGGAGCCAAAATAGCATATTATATTTAAAGAATAGTAGTTATTATTTTAAGACTTCCCATATTTTTGGTTATAGTTCTGATTCACTGATTTGATGGACAGTTTGGCCACTGATTGGCAAATCAGCCTCACCATAGTGGGTGTGGTATAATTAATAAAGGGAATTTGGAAACAGGAGTGAGTTTTAACCATACCTTGTCTCACCTTATTTCATATCATTTTTGAGTCTGTAGGTTACTATTTATTTTCCCTCATTTACACTACACACATGTATACTAGCCTACAATATTTTGGTTGGTCAAGTTTATTTCTATAGGTAGGATATTATTATTATTATTATTTCAGGGGCGGCTGTAGCTCAGGAGGTAGAGCGGGTTTGTTGTAATCGGAAGGTCGGCGGTTCAATCCCTGGCTCCCCCTGGTTGCGTGTCGAAGTGTCCTTGGGCAAGATACTGAACCCCGAATTGCCCCTGGCGGCTATTCCGCCAGTGTATGAATGAGTGTGAATGTTAGTTTCTGTTTGAGCACTTAGGTAACTCAGTGTATGAATGTGTGTGACTGGTGAATGCAGATGTAGTGTAAAAGCGCTTTGAGTGGTCGAAAAGACTAGAAAGGCGCTATACAAGTACGGAGCATTTACATTTACATATTAGAGTTAAATTGTTATTTCCAAACGGCGAAGGCAGAATGCTGGATCCAAAAAAGTTGTTAAAACTACTCTTCTAGGACTGGGGCAGTGGCTATAATATTGGAACGGGATAGTCACTACACTATATACCACTACTGCTACTAATCATAATACCATATATCATATCTCATGTCATTACTATAATAATAATGATAAACACAGCTGTCCTACAAAGGCAAATCATTTTATTTTTTTTATGAGAGAGAGCGAGAGAGACTGACTTTAATCGCTCATTAACGTTCGCGCTCCTCCACTGATAAACATGGCATTGGCTTTGTGGCTAATTTAGCAATGGACAGCGTTAACTGCTGTAAGTTATGTCTAATAATATTTAGAAGTAATAAACTAGGCAGAAATGAGAGGACCGTTCACTAGAAGTGCCGCACTGTTTGAGAAATAAATCTACCATCACGTCTGTCAGCCTAATGTAACATTAAACATCCCGCTGTGACCCAGGAGAGAGCAATGAAAAATGGGAGGGTTAGCAAGTCTGGTATGAATGTTTTCAGGAGAGGAGAAGTGATGAAGGCTGTTTTTATTATTATTTAAGTCATAATTGACGTGACAAAGGAACAACTCACAGTGAACACTGAGTGTGAGAGCTACCAGGAGCTACTCTTTGTAGCTGCGGTCAGCCAATGTTTTGTTCGGTGGTGCTGCAGTGTTGTTAACAGAGGAGCTGCAGAGCGCCCTCTGGTGGGCAAACTATGCAACACTCATGACATGAGGGAACACTCTGACTTAGTTTCTTTTTTTAAGTCGTATACAGATATATCTGCAATTAGCTTATATTGGCCGATAATATCTGCAAAACGATAAATTGGTAGGGCTTTAGTCATTAGTTAGGACATAATTAGGACATATTACTTTTTTGACCTCGATGATGGCGCTAGAGGAAAAGTAAGGGCTCAAAAGGTAACGTAAGTTATTGCATTTCATCCTGTGAGGAACATGAATGTCTGTATCAGATTCCATGCCATGTTGAGACATTTCCCTCAAAACCATAAATGTCAACCTCATGGTGGCACTAGAGGGAAATACAGGGGATGATTGTGGTCATTAGGATTCCTCCTCTGGGAATGATCTGTACAAAATTTCATGGCAATCCATTCAATAGTTGTTAAAATATTTTAGTCTTGACAGTTGATTGATCAACCAACTGACATTGCTATAGCTACTCGTGTGGCTAAAACCAGTTTGATAAACCTTTACTTTGACAATTCTTAACATGTAGTCTGTTATTCACAGCTGAAACAAATCAGTCCTCTCAGCCAGGTCATTATACTTTTAACCACTGAGAAGCAGTGTTTGATTATTTGGGTGATGAAGTGTTACCCCACTGATAAGCCCTATTTACTATCACAGCATGAAACACTACCCAGAGGAAGAAAAAATAATGTAATAATTTACTGTAGGTTATCTGACATCTATACATAAATTATCATGGTATAATTTCTGACACAACTAAACTATAACAGTTCATACATATGGTAATCATTTCCTAAACTGCATATTGGTTTCATTAATAAGCTTAGCTTGGCAGTCACATCTCTCCACTCACCCTCTATGCTAGTGTTGAAACGATTTGATGTGTCAACATAACATAGCCTCCAAAATATTGTGTCATAGCACAGAAAACGCTCATAAAAGTGTTAGTATGGTAAATCAGGAAAATTCATGGTTTATTTATTATACTGATGAAATAAGCTCTTGCCTCAGTCAAAATGCATTTACTTCCACAACTTTGTCAAAATGCAGCAACAACACATTCAGACAGATCCAAAATTTAACTTGTGTTTCTTGTTTTTCTTGTTTGTTTGTTTTTATTTATTAATTTATGTTCTCGTTGCTGGGAAAATCATTTAAGTTGTAGAGATTCTAGTCATGGTTCAAGGATTTTCAGCTGTCATTAGCTCCTTTACAAATGTTTGTTGGACATAACCTTAATATGTCTGGATCCTTCTGGTGCTCTGAGGTTACTATCTACTTGTCTGATGGAAATTCTCCCTGACTTGTGGCTTCATCTTGGTATTTTTCATCTTGTTTTGTGGGTCATTGAAACGTGTTTGTTGATATCCATGTGCAAATCACAACACTGTGGGTCTCCCCCTGGCTTCTTGACTGTGAAGTCCAACCTGTCTGTCTTGGTGCTCCTAGCAGCTCAATTTAGCACAGAAGACTTTTATTTTTGATCTAATGTAAGCGTAAATGTATCAGTTAGACTACTGGATCCAAAGCATCCAAACGATTTCACTGTCCAAATTATTTTCATAGGCCTTGCAATGTTTTGACAGAAGTGATTCTGGTGCTCCTAAAATTTAGCTTAACTCCTTATGTGGCTGTTCAAAAAGGATGAATGTTGAATTTTATTTTTGGTTCATTCACAGATCAGTGCCTGACTCTTTCTTTCCTCCTTGTTGACAGGATGGTTTACGCAGATTATCAGGAAATGAATACATCTTTTCCACGAAACGTAAGTTTACATAAACCTTATAGGAGGTATGATATGAAGTGCTTTGAGTTATATTTCTTCTGTTTTGTACAGAGGTAGTGAACAGCAAATTTCTATTCTTTATCTGACTGCTTCCTTTGTTGTGTTTCTTCCTTTCCTCACAGAGCCCCACCATATCCCCAGTCATCTGATAACTCCTCTGTCATTAAATGACATCCCCCCTCGTATCGCCGAGACCATGGAGAACGAAGACTCTTGGGACTTTGACATCGTCAACTTGGAGGCTGCAACCATGAAACGGTGAGGGAACAATGCAATTAAGGGCACATTAACATTATGATTATTATCATTAACACTACTATAAATATCTGTACCATTTTTCATTTAGTCTATAGCAACATCACCTTTACTGTCTGTACCTCTATGTGTATATTGTGTAGGCTGCCTCCCTCCCCTCTCTCTCCTTCCATTCCTCTCTTTTTTTTCTCTCTGTTCCTCTCCTGAAACTGAATTGAATAGAGGTATTGCAGCTGTTTTTAGTGTGGAGGGAGAGCTTGGGACGAGAGTCTTTGTTAAACTATCATGCTGAATCCTCCCACAGGCCTTTAACCTACTTGGGCCTGAAGATCTTCTCCCGCTTTGGGGTCTGCGAGTTCCTAAACTGCACTGAGGCCACTTTACGCTCCTGGCTGCAAGTGATTGAAGCTAACTACCACTCCAGTAACTCCTACCACAACTCCTCTCATGCCGCTGATGTCCTTCACGCAACGGCATATTTTCTCTGCAAGGAGAGAGTCAAGGTAAATTAACAAATAATAATAATAACTGCTAATAAAGTATAAAGTTTAAAAAAAATACATGCCAAACTTTCAGAATGTTGCTACTGATCCATAGCGTAAGCTAAAGTTGTGGTCTGTCAATTAGCCAAATTAAAGAAAATAATCGACAAACAGTTTGATGATAAAGTCATTTTACATAAAAAAATGCCAAAAATATATTTGGTCCAGCTTTTCAAATGTGTGCATTTATTGACAAGAATTTTGAAGATGGCACACTAGGTTTCTGGGATATTGTGATTGTCTCATTTTTACTATTTTTTCACGTTTCAAAAACCAACCGGTTGGTTAATTAATTAATTAATTAATTAATTAATTAACTGATGAAAATAATGGTTAGTTGCAGCATTACTCATTATTACTGCCCATGGAGCAGTGTTAACAACTGTTATGTCAAAGTCAATGCTACATAGAAAAAAAAGGAAGGTTTTCCAAATACTTTTAATTTCAACTGTTGGATTTGAGAGGAAAAACAAGGGGACAGCACTGGTGCAAATGCGAGTTTGCCCTTGGGGATATCTGCCAGAAAGCCGTACGACTTGGTTAGGTTTAGGCACCAAAACTTAGGTTGGTTTGGTATTGGAAAAAAGAAAAGCCAAAAGCCTTTCCCTTAGAAAGGTCTGAAGACAAACTTCTCCCATGTGCAGCACTGGTAGTTCATGAGTAGATGTGAAACTTGATGTTTCTTGACATGATTGTATACTTCATTGACTATAAGCATTAGCATGTTTACAAGTCTTCTCCACTGCTTTGGTTGTGGGCCCAAACACCTTTTTCTATTATCGAGCACAGCTCTCTGCCAGTCTGGAGTGTCATTTGTTCTGTCTGTGCCTACATTAACCAAGACAGTCATGGTTGTGCCAAAGTGTGTCAGTGGCTCAGTAACTGGTTTAGGGCAAGCTGATTACCACAGTGTCTATTTCTGATCTCAGCTGAGTGATCTGTCATTGACTTAGCAAGTGAACTGTGAAGTTACATCACACAACATTAATGAATCCCTGGAACTCGAGAGACAGGTTCGCAGATCTGTTATGCTGCAAATTAATTTACTACTAATACTTTAATACGGTATATCTTTATTTTTTTCTTTGCCTATACTTTGTAACTTTTTAGTTACTTTTTAGTCCTGTGACATGTGATGAAAAACTGAAATTTCCTTGAAACTAGCTCTTCATTGTAGCTGTATTATGCGGACATAAAGTATATTGGGTGACATTAGAACTACACATATTTTACTATCAGTCATTTGCATGTGTTTGGTATCTTGGAAAAGCTTAGGATGCCTTGTAAATGCAGCTAAATTAAAGTGAAAAGTAAATCTTCTTATCCTGTTAATAAATCACTACTGTCTTTCATAATGTAGAGCTACTTTTTGGATCAGATTACAGGCTAAACTGGATTCCCGGCACAGTTGTGTCGATAGTGGCATGCGACATGTCTAGTGAATGTAGAAGAAGGTTATACTGTGCCAGCTTTTGGCCTAGTTTATCATTAAGAACTGCCAAACTTCCCCTCTGATAAAAGTAAGACCAAGATGGTAATATACCAGACTTTTCCCTTTAATGCCCAACAATTTCTCTGGCTTCATATTTCCACAGCAAAGTTTGGATCCCATTGATGAGGTGGCTGCTCTGATTGCTGCTACTGTGCACGATGTGGACCACCCAGGCCGCACCAACAGCTTCCTGTGCAATGCAGGAAGCGAGCTGGCCATCCTCTACAATGACACAGCTGTGCTAGAGAGCCACCATGCAGCACTGGCTTTCCAGATCACCACAAGAGATGATAAGTGCAACATCTTCAAAAACATTGAAAGGTAGAAGAATCACTACACAAGGAATAGGTCACCTCTAATATTCTAATCCAACTGTATATCAAATAAGTGCTTTGTGTGCTCAAAAGACCAATATTTACCTCAGCATTTCCAAAGGAGGTACACCAACAGTTTTTACTGTCATGACGTTGAGAATATAATTATTATGTTATCATTTTCTGCTGAAGTATTCCTTTAATTTATTACAAATTAGGTGAATTTGCTGACTTTTGTGCGATTACACTAGGAACCAAACATTTGGTAATATACAGAATAGCTGCATCTATCAATGTGTAAGATTGCGAAAATTTATATTTTCTGTTTTGAAATTCTTATAAGAAATTGTTTGTGCTACAGACATCACCTGAAGTCTCATATGGGATAAGCTAAGTCTAAATATAAAAGCAATACTGTGTGTGTGTGTGTGTGTGCACGCTGACAGCGGTGGGGTTGTAATGTGATTTGAGTCCCAAAGCAGAATAGCTCATATGTGCTGGTCCCCTCAGAGGGGGAAGGTGAACAAAGCATCCATTCATCCCCACTGTCCCTGCAATCAGAAGTGGGAAACCGTTCACACGGGTTTTCATGCTGTTTACCACACTGTCATCTCACTCCCTCTATTTCTCTTTTTCTGCTCTCCCTGCCTTCCCCTCCTTTACCCATCTGATTTCCGTCCATCTCTATCTGTCTAGGAATGAATATCGAACACTACGACAGGCTATCATTGACATGGTGCTCGCAACTGAGATGACAAAACACTTTGAACATGTCAACAAATTTGTCAACAGTATCAACAAGCCACTGGCTGCTCTGGAGGAGAATGGGGTGAGATTAACGATGAAATCATGCTGCAACATTTCATACCTGTGTAGAAATAGTAGTTCTAATTTTAGCATTCATTTCAAAGCAGGAAGGAGAGACTGCACCATTCAGACACTAGAGAAACACAACTACTTTCATCTCATTCTGTCACAAACTGTCACAGAATCATACTCAGTCCGACAATATGCGAGCAACAATAGTTTAAGAGCTTGAGAGATGATGATACCGGTTCAGGGGACTTGGGGCCTGTTGTTGCCTGGGACATCTTTGTAGGGAGAGAATTTTACAACTTGGTACGATCTTTCTCATCTTTGTGGGGAATGCTCAAAACAGACATTTAAAAGTTGTCTTGCCCTTTAAAGGCAGGAATGATGTGAAAAAAGTTTTTGATGCAGATTTTCTCCTCAGTTATAATATTTATTATATAGCCACTTTCAGATTAAACATTTGTTTGCTAGAAATTATAACAGAGTATATGCTGAAATTCACAAATAAAAACACATATACTTTCATTCAGTTTAGACTTGAAGGTCTAAATAAAATAGACCTCAAGAGACTCATCTTGGCTTGGCAAAATAGACCGTCTGTACTTCTGCTGAACATAAATGGGGAATTCAATCTAGAAACATATAGTAGGCTGCAAATCATGTGACCGCATGAACCATGCCATCTTCTTTTACATGTAAGTGTTGCAAGAGTTACAGGCTCCCCTTCTCCATAAAGAAAACTAAAATTTTTATCAGCTGCCAGTATTTATCTTTCCAGTTTGCTTTATGTACAGACACTGTCAGTTATTTTTAAAGTTGTTCAGCTGCTGTGTGTATACTATAAGGAGCTCTCTATTGCCACTAATAAGTAATAAGTAGAACTTAAGTGTTGTCTTTGTGTTAATAGTCTTCTTCGTTGTTTTTTTTTTTTTTAAAGGGAAGTGGTGATGAGGAATCTGTCAAAAGCATTCTGACATCCCCCGAGAATCGCATCCTTGTCAAGCGGATGCTGATTAAGTGTGCAGACATCTCCAATCCATGCAGGCCACTGGAGCTCTGTATAGAATGGGCCGGACGCATCTCAGAGGAGTATTTTGCACAGGTAATGGGGAAAAAAAGAACATGGTATTGATGGTGTGGAGAGATGGATCCAGCAGCTGTACTGTGTTATTTTTGTAATCTATGTATTTATTGTGCCTGATGGTCACTTGTGCTGTCATCTCTGGTACAGACGGATGAGGAGAAGAGACAAGGTCTACCAGTGGTTATGCCTGTGTTTGACAGAAACACGTGTAGCATCCCAAAGTCCCAGATTTCCTTTATAGACTACTTCATTACGGACATGTTTGATGCATGGGATGGTAAGACTGCACACCATGACGCAAACACTAGACTACATACACTGCTATATGGTAAATTCGAAATTATAACTGGCATGTAGAATGCTTGGTTTATAATGTTGACGTTTCGCTGTCAAATGAGCAACTGTATGATCATCTTTAAATGCACACTTTTATAAATTTGTCTTAGAGATGCACCGATTCAATACACCAGATCAGTATCAGTGCAGATACTGACCTTGCCATGCTGATCTGGTATCGACTGGGATGTCACCAAGCCACATAAGATACAGTATTTTTGTCAATGCCATTTATAAAATTCAGTTTTTCCACTCTCAGTTACATCCATTAAGTCATGGTGGGCCCCCAACTCAGTTGCAACCACAGCAGTTATCTCACATAAAAATGAATCCAGTGACAGTATCTGATCGGTACTGGGAATCAGTACTCTGCATCTGCAGATATCCTAAGCTGAGGTATAAGAATCGGTACTGGGGGGGAAAGAGTTGGATTGGTGCATTCCTACTTTTTTACATAAATGTAATAATTAGATAGTGGTGTTAATTTAAAAAAAACACATCAGAGTGTCCTTAAAAACAAAATATTAAATCTGAAACTTCAACTTCTTTTCTCATCTCTAGCTTTTGCAGACCTCCCCAATCTTATGCAGCACTTGGATAACAACTTCAAGTACTGGAAAGGTCTGGATGAGAGGAAGCTGCACAGCCTGCGACCGCCTCCAGAGTAGGTGCTGCAGTGTCTTGCCCTGGGACTCTGTACTCCGGGGCAGCCCTCCTCTCTCGTGCTGGAGCGTCTCTCTCTGCCAGCCAAAGGGCCTCCTCGCCTTCACTCTCCTGCTTCTGTAGCACGTCGAGCGTCCACATGTCCATCCATACAGAAACCACACAAGGACTTCCTGACAGGTAGTTGCAGCAATGACATTGCTGGCTTTACAACCCTGTCAGACGAGAACTGTGACAAACACAAAGCATCCTTATGAACTTCTCGTGCCTCTCAGGCTTTCGCAGCGTAGCTGGTCAAGTGACATGACTAAAAGAGAGTCCTTACAGGTCTCCTGGCAAAACATGCATCCTGTAATTACTACATGGGCTCTCTTGTCTGCCTGCGAAGTTGCTGTTTGAGCAAAAACTGCTTGTTTACTGAATAAGCGAGCAACACTGGAGGAGTGAAGTGTGGTCTGGATATAAAGGTGTCCAATCACTGTCAGTCCATACAATCACCTTTGACCTCCATACCTGTGCTCGCAGCAAGGCGAAACAGCTCCCTCTGCCCCTGGAGGCCACACCATGAAAGAACACTCCACTGCTTTTTTTGGTTTGTTACTGGCAATATATTCATGTGTCATATAGAAACACATCCAAGCTGACATGTGACACATAACAGACATGTGGGAGGGTATGCTTTCTTTTTGGATCAGGGAGTGGGTCTTTACTTTAGGCCGCTGCTGAGAGATGAACACCTCAACATCATGATCATAGGTAACTAATTACAGATGATTTGGTATGTTAATTTTTCTTAGATGTTCCATATTTTCTATATTAAAATTCATAAATTAATTAGTTAATAAATAAGAACAAAATGAATTTCAAAAACGGAGCGAAAAGCCAAAGCTGATGAAGACAAATACTACTATAACTCTCAAAAATTCAAAATTATTATTCATATGAAGCATTACCATATTAAACATTTTTATTTTCTTATCAAAAGTACAGTACCAGTTTGAATGAACACTTTTGTATTGCACTGTAAACAATATTAGAAATGTCTACGTCTCAGTGATTTGTCCAGGGATGGGATGTTGCATTGTAGAATAAGCTGTTATTGTTGATCATCAGGAGTTTATGTGTGTGTATGTGTGGGTGTGTTTGGGTTGTAGGTGTGGGTGCGTGGGTGCATTCATTGTTGCAACAATCCCTTACTCTTGGTTTAATGCTGTAAACCGCTTGACATTTGACAACAGCAGAAATATGTGAAAACATTTTGGACTTGAAAATTTTTTCGCCCAGAAATTTTTGTATCTGGTTTATCCTACTGAAAAAGACTGCCTTATTTTATACAATATTTATACAGTACATCCCACTGTGCAACTGCAACGGACATCTGGAGTTTTTATTATAACATAGTCAGAAGGTTATGTTCAAGTAAATCTCAATATTTTTATAGACAATGAATTTTACACTGGATTTGCAGCAAATGAGATCAACCATTATAGCTATCTGAATACCTGTGAATTGGATGGTCACACAGAGCATGTATACAGAGAACTAAATGGTTAAGAAGGATGTGGATCGCAGAGTTGTCTATCACTGTCTTTAAGCAGTCTCCTAGAGGCCAGCTTGCATTGATTTTTGATCAAGCATCATTCTATTTTGGCCACTTGTCCAACATCCTTATGCACAGACCCAGGGAACAGCTTTTCGTTCGAGGCTGGTTTCAGATTAGGATACTAATATATGTTAAAGATTGTTGCTATTAAGAATATTTCTTCTTTAAACAGTATATAAATGCCATAACAGCTAAGCAAATGATGGTTAATAGATGTATTGACCACGGTTATCTTTGTTTCTCTCTTATGACAGAATTGAACACTCAATCAGGGGATTTGTTTGTTCCTTCTGATTCACATCTTGGTCTGAAGGCACGGGAAAAAAATTAGAATCTATTCAATGAAAAATAAAATAATGTCAATTATAAGTTTTGTCTATTTCCTGCAATGAAATAATGTCTGTCCTCCTTATAGTATCTCACGAACACCCCTCACATTTTTGTAAATATTTCATTGCATCTTTTCACGTGACAACACTGAAGAAATGACACACTACAATATAAAGTATTGAGTTTGCAGCTTGTATAACTGTAAATTTGCAGTCCCCTCAAAATAACACATCGCACAGCCATTAATGTCTAAACCACTGGCAAAAAAGTGAGTACACCCCAAAATGAAAATGTCCACATTGAGCCCAATTAGCCTTTTTCCCTCCCCGGTGTCATGTGACTTGTTAGTGTTACACGGTCTCAGTTGTGAATGGGGAGCAGGTGTGTTAAATTTGGTGTTTTCGCTCACACTCCCTCATACTGGTCACTGGAAGTTCAACGTGAACAGTAGCATACCTGGAAAAGAGTCTTACAGTCAAAAAAGTGTGTTATACAGCGATATTTACCTAAAGTTTTCTTTTTTTATTCAGGAACAGTACAGCAAATTTCGTTGTCCATATACTTGTGCAATGACAATAAAGTATATTCTAACGTTAACTAACATTAGCCACCCTAACTGGTCACACCAGACCAAATAAGGCTGTAGCAGCAAAACCCTCTGAGGGTATTGAATTGTTTTATTGTTTATGAAGTCAACTTTTAATTTGTAAAATGTCTTATTTCTTATTTTTGAAGTTACAGTTCTGCCTTTGAGATATAGGTTTAGGCACAAAAAACAACTTGGGTTAGGGAAAGATTATGGTATGGTTTAAACAATTACTGGTTACAGTTAGAAAAAGATTGTTATTATGGTTGAAAAAAGACAGTGTTGGTTGTTGGTAGGAAATGGAAAGTAAAAAATGGTCTCCCTTGCCTAAATCCCTTTGTTGACTATTCTATTCACAGCAACCTCCTTCCTTCAAGGCAGTACGGTGGGGGATAGCACTGTGGCCTCACAGCAAGAAGGTCCTGGGTTTGAACCCCAGTCGTCCCGGCCTTTCTGTGTGGAGTTTGCATGTTCTCCCCGTATCTGCGTGGGTTTTCTCGGGGTGCTTCGGTTTCCCCACCATCAAAAACATGTTAGGTAGATTCTCCAGTCAGTGCCGTTTGACCTGGCTCTGCACGGCAATCTGGAGTTGGTCCCTGGGTGCAGTGCAATGGCTGCCCACTGCTCCCTTCAAGGATGGGTTAAATGCAGAGGATGAATTTGCAATGTGTATGTGACAACTAAAGTAACTTTATTTATTTATTTAAGGTTTTGTGTTGCTAAAGACGATACCATTCAACTTCTGCCTTTGTCCCTGGCAACTAGTTACACTGCTAGAGGTCCATGTTCGCTAAACACAATAAATAATGTATTTTTTAATGCATTTCTTGTTACACTTCATGCCATACTGCCTGTCCTAACAAACTGTTGATTGGATGTTGCATGCAGTGCTAAATGTGTGTCTGAACTCTGCCTTAAGTTACAGTCATATTGTCTGTAAAGGTTCTCTGTCATCCAGGTCATAGTTATCTAAGGAAGGTTAAAATAAAGGGCAACTGGATGTGGTTAAAGATACTTAAAGGTGTTTAATCCCTTCTGACTGACTGGTTGAGAAACTCAGCTATTTAGCTTCTGTGGGGTTATTGTCAAGATGATCTATACCACTGGTTCCTGGATTTTGTAACGACCATAACGACTGTTGTTACAACATCCGAAGTGGTATCAATCATCTTGACAACGACCCCACAGAGGTTAAGTTTCTCAACCAGTCAGTCAGTATTGAAGAAGTCTCTTGGATGGGGACGAAACGTCTTAGAGTACCAGAGTATGAATCAGGATAATTTATTGATCCCCAAAGGGAAATTTTTTACTCGCATGGCTTAAAAGGAATAGAAATAATAGTTGAAATTGTTAAATGAATATAAGAAACTATAAAAATCAAAAAATATAATAACAAATGATAATACTGTGTGTGTGTGTGTGTGTGTGTGTGTGTGTGTGTGTGTGTGTGTGTGTGTGTGTATATATACACACACAGTAGAATACAGTATTAACAGAAGTGTAATGAAATAGCAGTATAATCTTCAACCAAGCCCATGTGCCCTTAATTTTAACCCTCATTGGGTAGTTATACTAGCTTTCTAGGTCTTAACTTTTTACATTTTGTCATCATATATTTAAATCGCTTGACCTTTGAATTGTACAATTATAAAGATGATAAGTTACCTGTTAAAGTCATAGACTGGTTAAACCATACACCCATGGTTAAAGTGTGTAAAAGAAACCCCAGACAGTGGGGTTTTATACTTTTTATATACAGAATGGTTTTATAGGCTTAAATGTTTGGTTACGTAACATGAAAACAGCGCAACTTCTGCCGGGTCAGACTTTGCGACAAGTCGTCACAGGAAATCGCCGGCACCAGAGAGGAGAAGACCCAATGGCTACCGTCGTTCAGCGTCAACTATAAACTCTTAATTTTACTGCAGATTTTGTGGAGTGGTGCTATGTCTTCGGGAATGACTGGACAAACACCGTAAGTTTTCGTGTAGTTAATTTGTTGTGAATACAATTGATAATTTGAGAAACATTATACGAGCTAACGCGACACTGCATATTAGCGCCGAACAGCAAGCTAGCCAGCTAAGCTAACGCTAGCTATGGTGATTCTCAACTGGAAGAAACCATGGAGGTTAGCTTCACAACCACCTAGCATACATGTTCGTGGCCTGCTAATAAATGTTAGCTTGTGGGTTATAATTTGTGCGCTTAAAAGCAAACACCTGTCGGCGGCCGTGATTGTTTGTTATCATAATACTAGAACACCACATTCTTCCAAGTCTTAGAATAGATATGTTGGTAATACAAACGTCTATAAACAGGATTGTAACTTGCTAAGTTAGCTAACGTTAGCTTCAGTGGCAGTTAACGATAGCTAAATGTTGCTGTTGTTAGCTTAGCTGACAATAAACTGTTAACCAACCGCGGCAAAAAATGCAGTGTTGACAGCTTTCATCAAAAAGACAAGGAGTTTTCGACGAAAGAACTTTCGATATGTAGTTACCTGTAATGTGTATCTTTTACGTAGTAACGTTATAACTTTACTTTTGGCATCAATAAACTGCTATACTAGCGCTATCATTGTCGTTTGAAATATTGAACAAGGATGTTTTGCTCAACATGTACAAGTATTTATGTCATAAGTATTGCCATTAAAAGTATTAAGTCAAAGGCACTGAAGTTTACAATTTGTTTTATTTATGTCTCATCACTTAACTTAGATCATACCTGCCAACATTTAGGTTTGGTGGAGGGGCAGCACACGGATTAGGTTGTTGGTTCCAATGAGAGATGGGTTGAAATTGTAACGTTAGTGAGTGGCATGTGTGTGTAGATTATTTCAAAGACGTTCTGACAACTTTGGGGATGTCAAAACAAATTTCCAAAACTTGCATCTGTAGGGGACTATTATTTGTAATAAAGTTAGAGGGCCATTCAAAGTATGCCAGTTTCTCTGAAGAAACAACAAAATGGGAGGGCCCAGGAGATGGCCTTGAAATATGGGAGAAACCCAGGATAAACGTGTTGGCAGGTCTGTTTAAGGTTCAGATCATCTTAAAGATTAAAATGGTATGTCAATTTTCTGTCAACTTAGTACTTGATAGACTTTTTCCTGTTAAAATGGTATGGTAAAAGCAAGTTATGCTATTAAATATTTTGTTCTTTTTTATTCCAAGGTGCCTAAGCAGCCGATGGGATCAGCCAGCTCAACCTAAACAGAGTGTAGATGTAAGGCAGCAAAGGAGTAGTGAAAATGCAGCCCACCCTATCTCTTTATCGGGAGTCGTCAACACTGCTACTTCAAACAATACAGTTTCGCAGCCACCACAAACGGGAGAAAAGCCAACACCTCAGGGAGGAGTTGAAATGGCTGCCGCCATGGCTGCTAAAATAAATGCCATGTTAATGGCAAAAGGAAAGCTGTTGACTCCGCCGCCATTACTTGCAAAGGTGCACATAATTTAAAAAGCTGTAGCAAATAATTATATATGTCTTGTAATTAGAGAGCTCATGCTTTTCCTTGTCTTTTTAGAGCCCCCAAAGTGTGCCTGTGCCAACCACTACAGAAGAGATGGTGGTCACAGAGGTCGACATAAATGATGTACCGCTAAATAGCAGGGACATTCTTACTAAAGGCAAGACACAGGAGGAGGTAAGTGGAAAGTGGCAGTGTTTGTCACACCACACTAGTTAAGAAAATTTAACAGCTTTTAAATATACATTCTCTAAAATCCCTTGTATCTTAATCAAACTTCCGATACCTTTTTCAGATCCGACAGTTTAGTGGAGCAGTCGTCTCAACAAAAGGTCATTACATGTCTGAAGCTGACAAGGGAAAAACAGGGTATGTACCAAAACTAGGGATGTTCCAATCAAGTCTTTTGACCCAATTCTAGTCTGAGTACTCTGTATTTGTAGTACTAACCGATCCTTATATTTACCTGTTGATTAAATATGTATCTGACACATTGAAAAATTCGCTTTTTGGCTATGAATATTTGGCACACCTATCCTTGGTATCGGCTTGGGACATCCCTAATTAAAACATGATCTTGTTGAATATTCCATATATTAAAGTTTCACATTCTTAAAAGATAACTTTATGTCAAGTGGTAGACCTAGGTTTATTGTATTTATTTATTTCAGTGATTTATTTATTTAGATTTGACTAGTTGTTGCAGGCTATACAATAATCTCTGTCCTACACATCTTTGCAATTGCAGTGATCTCATTGCTTACTTATTGCTTGCCAAAAAATCTAAATATATCTACCAGGTGTGCAATGTCAATCTAATTAAAATTAAATCACAATTCAATCAACCATTTAAAATGAATTGTTACAATGATAATGGGGGATGTTTGGAAGAATTTACGCATTTTGTGCTGTCAATAACATTTCTTAATTGCTTTCTTTCAGACAAAGACCTTTGTATTTGCATGTCCAGGGAAAGAACCAAGATCAGGTCAATAGTAAGTAGCACTTTTTTTAACTGCTCAATGTGAGTACAATGAGTCTCACATTGTATTCATCTAGTGTAATTCACAAATGTAACTCTGTTCTGTGTGGCGTCTGATTGTATGTGGCTGATGTCCAAACATTGTTGACTTTTGTGAAACATCAGAGGCTGTGATTAGGATAAAGGAGATCATTTCTGAGAATGTGCTGAAGGCCTCAGCAGCATCAGGAGGACAGCAGGTGCCTGTAATGCCTCCACTCACACTCTACCCTCAGCCTCCTCGGCCCGTCATTCCCACACCTGTGCCACGGATGCCTAACACCAACTCTGTGCCAGGCCAGGGACATCGGCCTGCCGCTCCTCATTCAGGGGTAGGCATCATCTATGTTGAGGTTCACCCACTACATCCCTTCCGTGGGATTCATTACTAAAACGTTACGATTTCATTTAAGTATTTATTAGGGCTGAACAATTAATTGCATTTGTGCTAATATTGCGATATGATAAAACAATTTTCTAATTGCTAAGGTTGTGATTACACTGTGGTCACATAAAACACAAGAGGAAAGGAAGCGTGACCTTTGCACGCTAGGCTGTACCGTGACTTGTTATACAATGACCTCAAGCTTGACAGAATCTGACACTGCACAAACTTTGGTGTCAAAAGGGGGAATGAAATTATCACCTGCAAATAAATTGGTGGCGGGTGAAATTGCCACTTTGGCGGACAGGGAAAATGCACAACAGAAAGACACGTGTAGTATGGTTAGCGTATTGTGGCGATCGGCACAGGGATTATCTGTGACGGCGTTCCAAATCAAACTCACCAGTCCGGAAGGGGGGGGGGGGACGACTCGGGTGTTGTCGGAGAATTACTAAGCTTGTCTGTTTGACGTGAGAGGCTTCACTTGGTTTTATTTTCGTTTTTATTTTGGCCATCTTTTGTAAAACCTCAAACTGAGTTTTTTAATTGTTTGCTTGCTGGGATCCAAAAAATTGCAATAAGATTATTTTCCTAAATCGTTCAGCCCTATTATTTATGCACTGCACCTTGTAAGAGGGATTTATCACTTACTGTCAGCAGCTATTTCCATACTGAATTTTTGTTTTTATCCTGAAATGGATAGATCATTAAAGTCTATTTAACATGTTGCCACAAAACAAAATTGTCATAGAAAACACATCATGCATGCGTTTTTGACATATTGTTTAGCTTATAAAGATGGTTAACAAGCTGTATGTCCAGGCACATGAGGTAGAAACACAGATAATATAATTTAACTGGATGTGTAACACCGGTACATGATAATTGGAATTATATATTGTATAAAATTCATTATGCAGCTCAGTTATTTTGTGTTGAATAGTCATTGTCTGTGGCTTGTCATTGTGTCAGTGAGGATTTTATAAATGGAGGTAAAGAAAGTGAGGCAAATGAAGACCATGTTGCCTTCGCTGATACCCACCTCCCAAATTAAGTAGCAGAGAGAACATCCCTGGTCTACAGGGAAAGCCTTGGGTTACTGCATCTGCTTACAAAGCTGTTTTACCTCTAGTCAAACTTATTTTAGATGTCCAATTAACAACCTAAATGTGCTGGGCATAATAATAAATTGCATTCTTCCTTATCCTCAGAGTTTTGTGCACACAAAAATATTTGTGGGTCTGGACCAGGCGTTGCCTTCTTTCAACGTCAACGAAAAGGTTGAAGGTCCAGGAGGGTCGTATCTGAGTCACATTCAGACAGAGACAGGGGCTCGAGTCTTCCTCAGGGGGAAAAATTCTGGCTACATTGAACAAGCATCAAAACGAGAGTCTTTTGAGCCTCTTTATGTCTACATCAGGTATGTTTATTCTGAATGCTCACCATTTGGCAAACTTTAAAGTTCCCTTTTTGTATTGTAATTCAACTTTCTTATGTGGTTGTGCTGGTAGCACTACAAGCCCAACAGTTCAAGCTGACAGACAAACTAGGCAGTTGAATAGATAGGCACATTTCTAACCACTTAAAAAACATTTTCCCTGTAACCATTACAGGACTTGATTTGACATGCTTGGTGTAAAAAAAGCCTGATACAGCCATATAAATGCTACAACCTTGTTGTTTTGCTGTGTTAGTTCTGTCCTGAGTCTTATTCATCTGATTTAACAATGATGCTTTGTGTGTTAACAGCCACCCAAATGCAACTGGATTGGAGGCAGCGAAGAAACTCACTGAGAGTCTGCTGGAAACCGTAAGTTCATGATCTTGTCCCTCACCACAAATTAAGTTCTGTAGTTTAAATGAATTAAATGAGACCCTAATGGGAGGTTTAAGAAGGTGAAACTATTAAAGCATATAGTTTTTCACTGATACCCACCTCCTAAAGTGAAAGTGGTAGTGTGAACCACCTGATCTCCAGAGATAGGTTTTGCGTGCTCTGCACCTACCCACAATGCAACTCAATTGTTCAAAATAAGTCAGCGCAGCCTTTCTGGATTGTTATCTAGCTCTTTACATAGTTTTTTATTTTCTCTCGTTCTCCAGGTGAGAGCTGAACATGCCCGTATGGTGTCAATGTACACAGCTACAGGCTCAACACAACGTGAGTATAATTTTACGCCTTGCAACTTGTTCCAACAGGGTGACCAAATATCAGGTACTAGCTGACTGACTGCATTCTTCCTGTGGTAATTAATCCTCCCTTTACGTCTTTAGTGGCTCAACAATAGGTTGAAATAGTAGGTCACAGTTGTCAAAACACCGTTATTGACTCATGTAATATATGCTATTAACTCCACGTTCTATACTTTCATTTCAGCATACGCAGCACATGGATTTCCACCTAATAGCAATTACTCTAACCAGGGGTCCTGGTATAACTACCCAGCAAATGGGTATGCTGGTGGCTATTCAGCGTACCCAGGAGCCGGTGGTTATTGGAGTAATGCAAATGGTCCCCCAAGTCATTCTAACATGTCGACAAACCCTCCATCTTCTCAGGCAATGGTTCAGTATCCGGTGTGTCCTAGGAAACCGCATCCCTATCTCGTCCAGGTAATTACCAAAGATTAAAGCTGCCACAAATGATTGCTTTCAGCATTTTTTTTTTTTTTTTTGTCGATATGATTTAGACCGTAAAATGCAAAAAATAGCTTGAAACATGCTTGTTGCAAATACCATAGCCTTAGGGTCTTTCTTGATACGATCAACCACAAAAAAAACAAATATGGTATCTAGCAGTGGTTTGGCAATAGTTAGTCAATAGTCTAATAGACTGATCAGTTACTCATTTCAGCACTAGTTTAAATCTACATACAACAAGCTTCATAAAACTTCATGTTTAAAGGTTTGAGCTCATTGTTTCTGTAATAATCCATATTATAATGTTGTCAAGGCATGTGGTTTTTTGTTTGTTTGTTTATATCCTGCTGCTGCATCAGTGTGTATGTGTTGGTTTTGCTTTACTTAAGGATCCTGGCAGCAGGGAGATGGTGGAGCCTGAAGGATCTTTAAACACCCCCCCTGACTCCGGAAGTCCCAAACGTCATTTCCAGGAGGGGGTTAAGGAAGAACAGGTTTGCTGAAAAGTAACACCTGCACATGTGACTGAAAAATAGTTTGGTCGTTTTAACATGAAGTGATTGAAGTTCTTGAGTTCCTGCTGACAGTGTAATTGTTTGTCTTTACTGTACATAGAGACAATCACTGTTAAACAAAAAAAAACTACATGGATGCTCTTTTTTTTTTTTTTAAATCCTTAAGACTAGTTTATTTTAGAGTTACATAAATGTTTTTTAAATGTCATATTACCATCCCTAATACAAATGGCAGTTATACATAGCCATGCAGTGTTAATGTAGCCTTTGCAGGTTCACACAATTTTGCAGTTGTCAAGAACTGACTGCATCAGACAGATACCAGATAGGTGTAGCTCTATATTTGTAAATATGTGTTTTGCACTTTTCTGTTTAGCCTACAAGCAGCTCTCCAGAGGGTCCTACTCATCAGGAGTCTGAACTTCCTTTCTCCAGTGTTGGAGAGGAGAAAGTAGTAGAAAGGTGTGTAAATAGATCCATTATCCTTTGTATGTTCTTCATGAATCTTGCCCGGGGCAGATATTAATATTTTTCTTTCTTCAGGATTCTGATGCCTCCACCACCACCTCCCTTTGTGGCTCCTGCCCCTGTTGCACGCAAAAGGCCAAGAGACGCGGGGACAGAAGATCCAGTCTGCCCGCCCATCAGTGCTGCATCAATGGGTATGCATTTCTTTATTTCCTAATATTCTGAGAGTCAGAGTACTCAGATATTTCTCCTGTAGAATTGACTGTTGCATGAAATGGCATCTCCCCCCGTGGAGGAATTGGGGAGGAGTGGAGACCTGTGTAAATCTCACTGGTAGAACAAACTAACACGCTCTTCTTGTATATGTTTTTTTGTCTTTCCCTTGTTTTCTCTCTCAACATGTGTCCCTGGACCTGCCTGTTATGGGTGTGTGCTCCGCTGCCGTTTCATTTGATATCTCCCCCCCCCCCCCGGCTGTGGATCAAACGAACTCAAAAACCACCGCTAACATGGGGCTTCTCAATGGGTTTCCTTTTTGTTTTGTTCTCTCACTTTGCCCCCCACCACCCCCTGTGTCTCCCACCTTCTCTCTACTTTCCTATGTCTCTATTTTTATTGTGCCCTTACAGGTGTTCAAGAGGAGGTGTGCGAGAAGAGGTCTAAAGTGGACGAAGATACATCAGGGCTAGTGCCCTACGGAGGAGATTCCTCTGATGAAGAGGAGGAAAGGAACCATAGCAGTAAGACAGATAACTCATAACCCCTGCCCTGCCCCATCCCCACTGCCCAGGATACCACAGACCCAAAATCTACTTTCAGTACATCAACACACTTCTCAAACACACACCCCATAATAGGAAAAATCCACCCTTGCATACACTGTTTAGGATGATACCAGTGTTTTCCCATGTTTTACATCATGTACTGCAAGTAACGAATACATTATTGCGGACTATTGTCCAAGGAAAATGTTAAATGCTTTTGTTTGTCATTTTTCCTTCCATCCAAGCAGACATGGGTTTCCTTCATCTCCGTGTGGGACCTTTTTTTTTTTTTTTTTTTTTAAATTACAGGTTGAGTAGGTTGAGTAGTTTTTTAAATAGCAGTAATGTAAAGTACAGATTATTAGTAGTAAGCAGGCTTATGATGGGGGAAAACACTGGTATGGTCTTTGAATTATCACAAATCTTTTGATGTTTGGTGCTTTCCTGGAAGAAAAGATTTTTTCTTGTCCTATGTAAGTTTTGCTTTATACTTTTGTTTGTTTTTCATGCATCTCCCAGTATGTCTTAATATAACCTCTCACACAATGGGTGTGTACCTGTTGGGTTTTAGTCAAAGGTGAGCATATTTAAATTTATGGCCACCTATAGAGCCCATGTAAATATAGATAGCCTACCAACTTGTTCATTGTCATTGTGCATGTGTTTGTAGCCACGTGACTTAAAATGCAACACATCTTTTGGCTACATGTCATGAATTGAGGATATACAAATCTTTTCTACAGTGTTTTTCTCCCATTTTTTTAAACTATAAGGGTCTAACTCTAAAACATGCACTTATCAATCTCTTAAATTGCAGAGACATTTTCTGTTTAAGTACCACTTTTAAACAAAATAGTCAATTTTAACAGTGTCACAAGTATTCAGGGTGGATTTTTCCTTTTAATGTGAATACAATTGTATAATTAATTTTCTTTTGTAAAACACTTTAATTTTAAAAGAATCTTGTTAATCAAAAACAAGTACCTTAATTTCCTTTTTTTTTTATTTAAACACTTGGTCTGCTGCAGTTGCTGATGGTATAAATACATATTGTAAAATTCAGTGAAACTTTTTTCTTATCTTGGAAAATGGTGTATGCCTGTTCCCATGGAATACTATAATAAAAACTGAAAACCCCTTAATGTCTTTAGATCCCACACATTTTATATGGCTGAGGAAGGTCAGCAGTGGTTTTATTTGATGAATTTGGGGGTTCACAATGTTAAGAGTTTGAGGGGTGACACCCAGAACTTTGGTAAGTATTAAAAACAAATTAATTTCACTTCCTACCAGTCCTGGGTTTTATTTCATGTTAATAGTAGATATTATTACTGGTGTCAGATGAATGCATACTTGGGAGCCTCTATGCCGTTGTGCACAGTAAGAGCTCCTGGGTTATCCAGGCCAAAGCAGGGGTGGACATAATTTCGGAAGTGACAGTGGAAGGTGTGTAGGTGTTGTTCCAGATTCACATTAAAGAAGGACAGAGCCCCCCTCTCGTAATCCAGTGCCACTCCTATCCGCACTGGGTTCACTGTAATTCTCAGGTCAGGACTCCAACCATTGTGCAGAAACTCATATTTATGCCTAAGGGGGGGGGGGGGGGGAGAGAAAAGGGTGGTAACATTATGATTGAGGATAGCAAAACATTTCTGAATATAAAGCTTTTTTTCTTTGGGATTGTTGTTGCAGCCATTTGGAAAACAGATGCTGAATCATGAGCCAACAGCAGGATTTCAAATGGTTGCGGATTAAAGAAATAGAGAAATGTGATTGTTAAATTGTGTGTAGGCAGAATCACTAAGATGCCCACAATTTAAACCACATTCAGGGCTTGTGTGATATGCTGCTCTGATTTACTAAATGTGACAATTCAACTGTCCTGCTTTGTTCCAAGAAGGGTTGTCATAGCAACACTTTTAACGTAACAGATATTCAACTGTGGGCTCTTTTACCTTCAATGGGCTTAGCCTTTCTTTTTTTTTTTGCTTACGAAAGGAAATTTTCTGGAGGCTAAAAATATTGTCTTGGCCCAGTTTCCATGAACTGCAGTAGTAGTCCCTCAGAGGATCAGTGTGCTAATTGTATCAGATCAGTCTGAAAAATCTGCATCTACTTGGTCTATGTAGTCCTGTGTAGAAAAAGAGTCAGTTTCTCTCCCCCAGCTTGCACAACAAATGGGAATAAGTGTATTTCAAAAAGTGACTGAGCAGCAAACCAACGCTACTCCTTTTGTTTTAACTTGGATTATTTCATTCGTGTTTGGGTTCCCACAGACCCCACTACTGTTTGATTAAAAATAATCATTTGAATATTTCTTTTCTTTTGACACGATTAAAAAGAAAACTTTGACGAAGATGACAGAATAGGGTACTTACCATAAAGCATTGTTACTACAAAAAATAAGGAGATTTTATGTTTTAGATGTTACAGGCTACAGTATGTTATCCTGTGGCATGATGTTACTGACATTTGGAGTCAATAAGATGGAAAATTCAAATAATAAATCCTAATAGACTAATTTAAATAGTGCTGTGTAGACAAAAGTACTGTCATCACCAATCACAAATGGAAATCCATTGTATTTAAGTGTGCACAGCTAGAGTCTCAGACCCTAAGCAGAACATTCGGGTTAAATCATATCCACATTAATGTTACCTGGATGGAGTGAGAATATGTCTCATACACCAGGAGGTATTGTTGGCTCCGAAGTACGAGCTCCTCTGTGTGTCCTCATATGCAACTCCGATCCTAAACTCCGTCCCATCATCCACCTCAACTTCCCAGTAATGCCTGCCTCGCACAGGAATCAGATCCCCGAGGACAGCTACACATCTGTACACACATACATAGTCTTACTTTACATCAACTCATAAGGGGTAATCTAATAGTTTTCCATTATCTTCTGTCAGTAGTGACTGTATAGGCTACCTGGTAAAGGTGTTATCATCTGAGGCCATAGCGCTAATTGGCAGCTCCTCATCTCCATAAAACATGGTGAAGCCGTCTTCAGAGAAGGACAGGCAAGGATGGGCACTGTCTTCCAGGAGATGGAAGAATGTACCTGCACAGGTAAACAAACATGTAGTGATGTTAAGTCATCGTATGAATGTGCAAAGAGCAGTGACGGAGGCATCTGGGCTTGTGTATTTCCATTTCATACTACTTAATACTAATACTGTAACAATTACTTGACATTTATAGTTAGTGTATAGTTTTATGTTAATAAAAAATATGATGCATTGTTACAGATTCAACTACCCAAGGCCATATTGAGCTGTTAAAATTAGCTCCACCTCAACAACTTACATGTTAATGCAGTGGTTCTCAATCTGAGCATTGCGACCCACAAAAGGGGCTATGAGATATTTATAGGTGTGAGAAATGATAAACTAAATTCTGCAACACAATGATGTTTGCTTTTGGAAATTCTTTGTAGTCTAAGTCAGACATATTCAAACTCAAGTCGACATTGTGACAAAAACAGTTTGGAACCATGGTGCTAATTATGGTATCAAGGTTGTACAACGAAAGGAAAATCTGTAGTCCCTCACATGCAACATACATATAACTTACCAGATAAATAAATGTATATTACAATATGGTACATCATTCAATGATTTTTCAACATAAAACAAAAAATAATATTAACAGAGGCTATTGTATGTTTACTTTTCATACTTTAAGTGGATTTACTAATGTATATAAAATAAAGGGCTTTTACTTGTAATAGGATAGTTTGATATTTCTGAATTGCTATTTAAGAAAATGACCTGAGCGCTTCCACCACTGGCCAAAAGCACCACAAACAGGCTGATCCATGATGCTTCTCACCTGTTGTGGAGACAGTAATAACTTCACTCCTGTCGCTGGGCCCACCGATGTTGACTGCTCGCACAGAGATGAGGTAACGCCGTCCTGTCTGCAGCTGGATCAGACACTGACAGGTGGGCACGGCTACTATGGACCTGGGGGATTAACCAAGGAGACGGAAGGCTAAATAAATGAAATGATGATGACTTTTTGGATCAGCTTTTATTTCCATACCTCTACTAGAGTGATAAGACTTGAAGTAACATCTTGTCTCACAACTTCTGAAACACTATGTGGATAAATGGGGTGCTTAGCTTGGTCCATAGACGCAATTGAGTTAATACAGTTTAGACTCCACTATGCAAAAATACAGAGACTATTCATATAAATAGTTTGACTGCTCTCTTAAGTTACCAGAAAATGAAAACCATGAAAGTGACTCCAAATGCGAGGACAGTATTCTAGCTGAGGCTAACAGTGCTGTAGGACCTGAAGCCAAGAATAGATTTTCTAGGACAGAGTGTGTCTTGATTCAGCAGCTCTATAACCATGGGACCTCAAAAATCCCAGGCAAGCACTAACAGAGCCTTGCTTATGGATGTCTTGAAGAAAAAGCCTTATTAAAAGGACAGGCCAGTGAAGACAAATATCATGGGGTACTGCATCTTTGAAGCTCTGCTTATCCACTAGCTGAGCTAACTGAGCTATTTCATCTTTGTGTGTAAACTCTAAAAGAAGGAGGAAAGAAAAAGACAAATTTCTTTTTGTGTTGAATCTGTCAACTATAGTTGTATGTTAAAAATACAGTTCTTACTCAGTAACACCGCTCTGTGTGCCATCAGTACCCATCTCGCTGAGCTCCACAGTGTATGAGTCTACAGGGTTGGTGTTTCCTGACTCCCAGCGTATCAGAGCAGCCTCTGGACAGCTAGTAAACTCCCTCTGCTTGATAACTGGAGGCGATGGCACTGGCGAGAGAGGAATCAAAGACTTAACACTTCATTCTCTCTACCATCAATCATGTGACGCTGGAGTGACAACAAAATATGCACAAATGAGACAACAGAACAATTATTTAAACTGTCACAAGTTTAATTACGCATCATATAGTTGTAGGAGTGGGGCGTTTACTACCTGTCATGTATAAGGCCTTCTCACTCGCTGGGCTGATGCCTGTGGTATTGGTAGCAGTTACCCACAGTTCATACTGAGCATTGGGCAGCAGATCTCTCACAGTGCAGTGGGTCTCCTTCACTTTTACGTTGCTTACTGAAAAGCAAGCACAGATTTAACTGTGGCTGCGCTGATAAACACATAGTATCCTCCAGAGAAATCATAAGTTTCCCACATCGATAGGTACTGTTTCAACAGTAGATGGTGTTATCATGCAATGTGAATCTCTAGTCAGTGTCTCTGTGTTGTACCATGTGGTGCACAGGTGCTGTCTGCTGGTGTGTCCTCCAGTACAGGTCTGTAGTAAAGCTCATAGTATTCCACTGTGTCGTCGGAGAACAAGCTCCAGCACACACGCAGGGACGTCTGGGTGGCAGAGTTGGGCATCTGGGGGTTGATTACTGGCGCAGATGGAGCTGTTTTTACATTGAAGAAACATTATTAACCCAGTTTTGTTATCAAGTCATACCATCAAAAGCGCTAAGATAACCGTGTAGGAGTCGTTTTGCATAAAAAGTGATACGTTGCGACAGCTTGCTCTAGTTTCAGCTCAACACTGACACCTATGTGCTTTCATTTACTCGAATCCTTATTGCTGAAACAGTAACTTTAAAAGTGAATTTTATATCCCTTCTTTTGCAAACAAAAACATTCCTACCTACATTCTCAATTCTTCACCATGTCTGACCCATGATCTTTCTTCACATGTTCCTTAGGTCATCAGGTTAAATGTCATTGTAATTCTGTAATGTTACACCTGGAGGTTGTCACCTCCATGGTGTTTAGGGAGATTTAACTCCACCAGTTTCCATCATCCACCTGCTGGCTTTCCTCCACCACCACCAGCGTCTACACTCTGGGGGATCCTGTCCTAGCCTTGATTGCTTTAAGTGATCGGCTCTAATCATCATAGTCGCTCTCTGTTGCTAACCTCACTAAAAATTGTTATATGCACAAAGCTAATAAATTGCTAGTTAATGGTCTCTGGGTAACCACCACCACACCACTAACTCCTCTATGTTATAAACTCTATATAGGTGAACTGGGGAGTGGTTTGTATATCAGACCTGGAACAACATTGATGGTGTCCATCATTGTTTTGACATCTGACAGGTCAGCAAGTGGTGTGTTAAACTCAAGGCTTGTAGCCAATGTGAGGTCTATCTCCTCTTTGGCAAACTCCTCGATTCTAAAGTAAAACAAAAAGAAGGCAAAAAAACAGCTCTGAGTACTTTAATGTTAACATTAAGGTTAAGTAGTTTGTGTTGGATGAGTCAAAATGTATCCAGTTAAGGTCCACTTACTAGCTTATCCTGGAGCATTTTGTGGTCTTTTGCGGTGGACAGACTTTGCTCAATTATCATGGAGAATGACTATTTCCATGTCATGGAAACTGAGCTACCTCAGTGCTCTGCAAAAAGCTAATAAGTGGACCTTGGGTAAGGATTTTTATGTCAAACTACTTTTTCCAAAGCCAGGAATTTACAGTTCCACTCCAGTGTGCCTACTTTTATAATATTAGTCTGAAACTACATGCAAAAAAAGCTGGACACACAATATTAGCTTTGTGCCATTAATGGTTAGTCTTTTGAAATGACACAGCAGTCACCACCAGTGCAGGGTCACACTATGTGGCATACTCACTGAGCAGCATCATAATTACCTTTTAATGGTGGGCATAACTGTCTGGCAATAAAGGTCAAAGAAAGCAATTGAACAACAAAGAACAACAAACGAACAAAGAAATACTAATCAATACATCAGTAGTATGACAGGAAAATCCTCTGCTGGAGCCATTTATCATTATGTATACAACAAGAACAGAAGCAAGGACACCTTCAGGAAAAGCCTCTTGTCTTGGCTGCGGTAGATCTCCTGGGCCGTCTCAATGAGGTCCTTGGAGGCATCCATCGCCTGACCACAAGCCAGCAGCTGACTGTACAGGGCTTCCAGCTTGCCCTTCTTCTCCTCCTCTAGTCCAGCCGCCCTCTCGTCATATCGCTGAGACAATGTCTGCAGCACATCATTGTAGTGCTGCTCCAAGTGCTGCTCCTGACGGCCAAAATTATCCTGTACATACATTCATACGATCACAGTGGCGCAGGTAGAGATTTACACATTTGTTATCTTTAAAGAAAATATGGAAAGAAAAGAAAAATGAGGGGAGGATGACAGATCAAGGGAGGCGTTGAATGAAATGGATGTGTTTGATTCTTAACTTCAGGCCCAGAGGGAGATACGCTGAGTTCAATAAAACAAATATAATAATAAAAAGAAGAATTCCCACATGCTCACACAGCCATGAATCAATATCAGAACACATTCTAACAATCTGTTTCACTAAACTAAAAGTATTTTAAGAGGGACATTTACCTCCACAGTGAGAAAGATTTCCTCCAGGTGACCTGCAAAGTTCTCCATCTCAGCAACCTTCCCCTGTAACTGATTCCTGATTCTGACGATCTCACACTAAAAACAATCAAAAGTCTCTTTGTAATTCAAACCAGTAACATTACACTAGTTTTCAGCCTGTGCTGTCAGGACTTTCTGCTCATGTCTGTGGCTTGGAAAAAAAAAAAAAACACACTTTCATGCAGACAGCTCCATCTTCTGAGAATTAGCCACAAAGCAACCTCAAATTATAAATTAAGTGTAATTTCATGGCCATTGAGTTTTTCGGAGTATCTTTATTAATATAATCATGTGTGGCTCCTTGTGAGGGGACCCCAGGTGGTATATACATGTATATTTCTGTATATTTATATCGATGCATTAGGTTTTTTCTACCTGTGTATTGCAAGGGTTGATTGTACATCTGTAGCTTGCGATCTTTATCAGACTACAAGGAGGATTCTTTTTTGTTTGTTTTTTTTACTTTCTTGTGTTATCCTTGACATTTCTGAAGAGTGTATTTTGTCACTGTGGATGACATTTTTATATGCACTTACTCGTGTTAATGTCTAATAATAAAATCAAAAACTCTTAATGAATTTGAGTGTTTTTATGGCTTGTTTATTCCCACTAATCCTTGTATTTCTGGGGGTTCAAGTTCTGTATTTATGCTGCTATTTTCAGCATGTTTGTCCTCTTGAGAAAGTGATTTAACTCACAAGAATCAAGACAAACAGATAAAACAAGAAAATATCAAAGTTGTGTTTGTGTCCCCCACCTCAGTTTCTCCTTCCTTAAACACATCATCATCATCATCATCATCATGTCCATCTTCTGCCCGAGTGGGAGATGGAGTGCTGTCCTCACAGGGCTCAAAATGAAGGGACTCGTTGGTGTTGACTGAGAACCTCTGGAAGGTCGAAACGTCTTGTGGCGCCCTCCCTCCTCTGTCTGAAACCACATTGTAGGGTTCCATGGTGGTCGACTCTCTGCTTAAGTCCTGGTGCTCAGCTTCTTCTGCAATCACATCTAGCAGACCTCCCCTGATCTCATACAGGTCCATGAGGAGAATGACTGTGCGAGGACAGAGGTTTACAAGTCATTTATGATTTGACTTCTGACCTTTATTTTCTTATCTATAACAATCTATGGATCAACAACCATATTAATATTCAAAAAATCCTGCATCAGATAATAAATACTTTCCATACTTTAACCAAGCAACTTTCCTGTACAGAACAATCAATTAAATGAATAGCAAATGAGCAGCTGATGCAAATTTACCTTGATAATTCAGTAAACCAGTCTGCTCTAAACAACTAACAGTGGTGTCTGACAAGCCAACTCTGCAAGCAGTCCAACCCTCACCCAGAAACTATGACAAAAATAGATGGGACTCAGATTGCTCATAGGAATGTCAAACATCCATGCAGGGAGTTAGTTATTTATTGAATAAAACATACAAGTTAGACTATTTAGAAGCCTGTCAAACCTTAATTAGTTAGTAACGTAATTATTTCCAGTTTTAGAGTTGGCATTATTCGTCGCCTTAAGGCGTTCAGGAGTTGGAAATCCCCGAACATGTGAATCAAAGGTCAAAGTTGAACATAATACAGGGGCATTGTGGTGCCTTCAGGATATCTCGTAAACGCCCACATTGTCTTTCTATCCCTTTTGCTCAGAAATACCGAGAAATACTCGACCTCGTCTGCTCTGTCAGTGCCTCGGTGATCAAAATTACAGGCTGGCACCTTTTTCGTGACTGTTGCTTTGACGTAGAAATCAAGCAACTCTGAGCTGTTGGAAGGAAGAAAGATAACTGATGCGTGCTATAAATAATGGAAGGGGTGTTATACTTAATGTCTTATCTAAATAATGTGCACAAAACTACAAGCATGTGATTGTCTCCACTGTGTCAATATTATTTCAGTAAATGTGATAACAAAGCCTTTTAACGGTCTGTTTATCACTTTGTTAGACGGTTAACGGTTTCGGTTTTAAAAACGTTGAGAATATTTCTGAGGCGCATGAAGGCAGCCTACGTCACGCAAATGGCGGACGTTGTAAACAGAGCCAGCAGCTTCTCGGAGGCCGAAGTAAACCATCTCTTTTTAAGATGAATAACGTTGAGTGTGAGCGGTTAGATAGTCTGGAGGGCTGGGTGGCCGTTAAAAGTAACATATTTGAAGAAACTGAGACTTTTAAGCTGGGCTTCATCGTACAGTGGAATGTCATCGAGTGTAAGTTCGCTGTCACCTGCCACAACCGGACGTTACAACGGCAGAAACGCAAAGCCGAAGTTGCCGTCGGCGACCATGAGATGAGCTGGGCTGGACTCTTCTCCGTGAGCGACTTGAAACATATCCATCAGCAGTTTACTTGCGTGGCTGACATCTTGGGAGCCTGCTTCCCGGATTTGTCAGAGTTCGAAGACGGCAACATTTGGGACTTGCTCTTCCTGAATCGGAGGTCGGGTCCCGAGGACGACGACGAGAGGGATTTTGATACACCGTGTAGGAAACTCGAAAAATATTTCAGCACCGCCATTGACATCTGCGGGCGAAAAATTGTTCTCGACACGTTATTCGCCCAGGATGAGCGGGATGTTGAGGAGTACTTTGAAAATCTACAGGAGTTCAAAAGGAAGACCATGCAGGACGAGATGTCAAGGGCCAAGGGTCACCTGCGACAGGTGAGGGGGCGTGGCAGCAGTGGGATCAAATGAGCCACAGGTGCCAGTACCATGGGTGCTGCATAGACTCAGTTGCCAGTTTGTCAGGTATACCTAGCTAGAATCAATGCAGTCTAATACAACAACCCTGCAATAAATCCTACCTACATTATGTAGGTAGGAACATGATAAACGTGTTGATTCAACTTTATTGTCATTTTGGAGGCTTTAGTTGTTAGTTAGTTTAGTTTGTGGTGATGATACTGAGGTGTTGCTAATATTTTGTCAATCCCACTGAAGGTAGACTAAATATAGAGACACCTCAGAATAACGCAGTACAATATTAACATTTTATTTATTTAAATATATAATAAACTTAACCTTTATAAAGTCAAGATGTATTGCAGAACTTTAATAGGTTTATATGTGGATTTATGACACATACTATACTTAAATCATTTATAGAGCACTGAAAATGCCATGAAACCAAAGATTATGGACAATGGACAGTGGACAAACCAGAAAAACTGTTCAGAAGAAGTGTTTCACCTGAACAGAAGAAAAAGGATTGAGGATATAGTGAAGCTTGGGAAACCTCTGTTTGCCCTATGGTTCTCTGTTTTGCATGTTACCCTGCAGGACTAGCACCACACAGTGGTGTTACAAGTCTGAAAGTGGACCTGCTATGACACAGCAAATCTTTGCTGTTCGTGTATTACAGTGAAAGCTCTAGATGTGGCAACACCACTAGTGCTAATGTTGTTTGTCAGCCTGCCCTTTGACATTTGAATAAAAGTGATTTGAAATGTAACTTATTACACACAAGTAAATAACATGGTGAGAGATGCCTTAATGACAGTGTACAACTCCACACTCCAAGCCCAGATATATGAGACACTGGGGAAAATGCAGTCAGTGTACACAGCATCAGTAACATTTAATGTAATCTGATACGATAGTGATACAGTTAATGCCGCCTTGTATGAAAATTATATGATGTTTTGTTGAGACTGTGTCAGAGAGTAGGTTTAACTTTTAATTTGTATTATATTCTATGACTAAACATTATATTGTCCACCTCAAATGTATAGTGTTTTTAGCGAGCTGCAGAGCTCTTTTAGCAACAGGTTTGTTAATGCCCAAGTCCTCTTCACAGAGATTCAGGAAGTCCTTCTGTGCTTTCTGCTGTGATGTGTTTTGTCACTGACTGTCTAATGTTGATGACTAGGATTGTGGTTTGTACTGGGGTCCATGGATATGTTGATACCATATATAAACACTAACGTATATTAATACAGTCACATTGATGTTTACACCTTTTTATTATGGTTATTATGATGCCCTTTTATTTTTTACCGAAATCGACTTACCCGGCCAATACCCCCCCCTCACCCCCCCCATGAAATTAGATTAGAGATACATTTGTTGTTGTTGTCTGGCTTCAGTGGAGAGCGTCAGATAAATGATCTAGTGGTTTTGAACCCTCAGCCCGCCTGCTTATGAAAGGACTAATATCGACTTTTATATTAGTGTGCTCAGATGTTGTACGAAAAAGTGTTCCATCAGAGATTTTTATGTTATTTCCAATTCGTCTGAGACATGAAAAGCCAGCCAAAGACTGTGGGCTCAGAATAAACAAAGGTAACAGTGTTTATGTCCTCCACTTTTACAGCTGCTGCAGATTCATGCCAGTGCAGACCGAATGGTTGCGCTGCTCAGCATCTACGAGGAAGAGGACGCAGCCTATCAGGACCTGGTCACTGTGGCCACCACTTTCTTCCATTATCTGCTCCAGCCTTTCAGGGACATGAGAGAGCTGGCCTGCCTCTACAAGATGGAGATCCTGGTGAATACAGACGCACATTTAGCAGTTGTGCGGTTTTTTAGGCTGTGGTAAACCAGGGGTGTGAGGCGGGCCTTACATTACTTATTGCATTAGTTATTAACCTACATGTGTGAGAGTTCAGAGATACAGTAGTTTTTGGGAACTGTTTTCCCCCCATCAGAGTCAGAAAGTAATAAATGCCTTAGGACAGACCTTTTTTAAAACTATTTGGTGTAGTCAGAAGTTATGTCAAACAGCAATATTAGGCTATTTTGGCTCAAATGTTGAGTGTCTGTGGGATCAAATAATATAATCATGATCCCATAGGCATCCAGGAATTGAGCGAAACTTAAACAGCTTAAGTTTCGCTCAATTCCTGGGGAGCTCCGTTTCCCAAGCTTTGTCTGAGGGGAGGCCCACAGTCTCAGGCTTTGAAAACCCCTGTGGTAAACTATTATATGCAGAGGATGCAGTCTGCAATTTGTTTTGGTATCTAAATATTCAATATATTCTCATCAGGAATTTAAATGTTTAAACAAATGAAATGAAAGGGGAGCTTCATGCAGATTTGCCAGATTTATGCAAATACACATTTATAGCCCTAGGACATATTTTAGACTTATGGAACTGCATAGCCTCATACAGCACATATTGGAGGATTAACCTGTTTCATTTCTCTGTTATTGTGTAGACACACATACCTATACACACATTGTGGTGGAGTGATGAACACAATTTGATATTTCTATGTGTCATTTAAGAAAATAATTAAATCTTTTCACTGAACTTACTTAAAAGCCAAATTTATATGCAAGTGGGTTAAGTATCTGTCATCTTAACAGTGTAAAGTTGTCCACTGTCCCTGCTCACTGTGGTTCTCTGCAGAAGTCTTTGGAGTTTGAGGACTTGGGTCCTAAGAGAATTGCAGCTCTGGAGAAGGAGGCGGATGAGTGGAGAACGAAGGCAGAAGATGCAGTCGCTTCAATTCAGGACATCACCGTTTCCTACTTTGCACAGACTTCAAAGGCTCTAGCTGGTATAAGCTGCTGTGTTTATTTCTCTTATTTGTTTATGGATGAATTAATTAATGACTTTTATGTGTCATTCCTCAGCAAACAGGAAATGCAGCAGTCACCAAGTTCCATTGCAGTTGCAGACAAACAATATATTTATGAAATATGTTATCTAATATCCACACAAAATGCACAATGTCATGTTCATCTAAAAGGAAATATAAGGTTTAAGGCACACTTTAAATAATTACATGAAAAAATTATAATATAACAGATAATTGCTCTGTGTGATAAACTTCATTGCTCAAACAAGTGTGTTGTTGGAAGTAGGAAAAACTGGATAAGAATTTCACTTTGTTTGGCAGCCATTTTTCAAGTGGGCGTTTTGTGAATTCTCACCATATTCTGAGGGAATTAAGACAAAATCCCAAAGCACAACATATATATAGATATAATTTTATATGGATACACTCATTCCACAATCTAAATGGCTTGCAATTGTAGCTTTATTCATGTGCCTGTAAACCATTTTGCTGGAGGTTTGTAAGGCGTTCTGAAAACATTGTATGCAATACATGTGCAAGAGGCCGGTCAGGGAATGTAGATCATGACAAAAAGTAAATCACAACACTCACAAAACAATATTTGATGAACTCCTAACACCTCAAATTTATTAGTAAAAGTATCCATGTTTTTTTTTTCCTTGTTACTTTTGCTTTGCACCCATGTTAATATATTGTGTGCTTTGTGTGATGCGCACACATAACTAGCCTTTGTGTGCATGTTCAGGTATGTTAAAGCAGATGGAGGAGGATAAGTGTCGTTTTGGAGCTGCTGCCTGGGCGTCTGCAGCTCCCAGACTTGAGAAACTACGTTTCCTATTAGCCAAAGAAACCCTGCAGCACATGAGGACTAAAGAGATGTGCCTCAACCGCAAGAAAGATGGCATCAGGAGAAGGGTGTGTGTCTTACGTTTTTTTGATTAACATGATCAGCATGAACACTGATGTAATCAGTCAGCACATTCCATGGTGGTGTATTGGGCTCTGACACAGTTGTAAGGGTTTATTTTTCATTCAGATTTCCACTGCCAGCGCCGACACTGCTTTTGTAGTGGTGATAAGTCTGTAGAGATGTAACACGGCCCTTTGGTATTCCAGTCTGATGTGAATCTATGGCTGCTAAAGTCCTTTGATCTATTTATAAAGCCTCTCTAAAAACACAGAGAATCCCCTCGAGATACCCTCAAAACCTGCATTAATGAATTAGTGAGTCTGTGTTTATATACATACTCAAAACGTGCCAGCTATATGCATATCAGTGAGTACAGGGGAGGTTTATTTCAAATGTCAGGATCACAGTACTTTGGGGAAATTGCAGCGAATTACTTGCTGCTGTAGGGTGTCGTGCTGCGAATTTGAGCTTTTTGGAAGAG